GGGGGGGGGGGGGAATCGATTATCTTTCTGGGGGGGGGGGCAAAAATTTTTTAGTAATGTTTTTATGTTGTTTTAATTTACTGTAGCGTATTTGTATGGTGAACGAACGGACAGGACATCAGCTTAGTTACTTTCTCTTTATTTTCTCTTTACTTTAATTTTTTTTGGGTCTATTTTTGTCTAAAAAAATTTTATCCAATCAATCCAGGGGGGGGTGCCCCCCCTGCCCCTACCTGCGGGCGCCCACGGTAAGGTGGTTTTCGTTCCCGTAAAGAACAAGGTGAAAGGAGTTAAGATTAATAAAAACAACAACGTTTTTTTTCTTTCCAATAAAAATCTATAACTAGAGGAGATCATATTCGTGATGCCTCATGATATATTTTCACCAACAGTCAAATTATTGTATAAATTTCAATTGTAAATGCTACCCCAGCCAGCACTGCTGACTGCTGGTCACCGAAACCGGTCGGGGTTAGCTCTCTTCGTTGTGGGTGTGACCCCGAGGTCAAATGCAGTTCACCAAAAAAAAAAAAAAGAAATAAAAGCGAGGCATAACAAAAATACGTTGCAAAACTACAGTCTGGGCTTTTCGCTGTAGAGCTGCATGTAGCTCGACACAGTTCAAGTTTGTGGCGAGTTTACTAAGAAATTTGAATTGGTTGGTTGACTATCGGTAGGTGATTCATAAATTATGATTATGGCATAGGATTGTAGTGTGGCAATAGTATTGGCATTGGCATTATAGTGTAAGTATAATAATTTTCCCACTTTAAATTTAAAGTTATTTAAAGTAAAAGGCAAGGGTTATTATTTATAAGTCGGTTCGTCTTGTCTGCGCCTATTACTAACTATTACAATTACAAACTTACTATTAATATTAACTATGACAGACTACAGTATAGTGTATATTAAAAATGTATTTTGCTTTATCTAAGAGTATAGTTAGTAGTATAGGCAAAGGCCGACGACCTGACGGCTGATGGTACTACCACTTAACACGGTTATTAATTATTACTAAATAAACTATTATTATATTATTTATATCCTATAATTTATAATAGTATCATCATTGCAAGGTGATTCTTTCAGTACTAGTACTAGGACTAGAGCCCAGAAAATGCGAATATTTCACGAAGGATCAACATTAACATTAACAATTAACATATTTAAAATTATGAAATTTAAGTCAAAAGAACTTGGAAAAGTAAAAGGAGGGAATCCTGGCTTCTTCTACACTAATGGTTCTCAACTTTTTTTGTCTACTGCCCCCATCGAGACATAAACTTATGATAAACTCACCCTTAGTAAGTTGCGGCCTTAGTGTCTTTACTTAACGCCCCCAGAAGATCATCAATTTTCTGAATTCCTTTTATCTAAAAAAGTCTGTTATCCGAACATCTTTTTACTTTTTTAATAATCGAACAGTATAATCATGCATAATCAGCATCATTGGCATTTCTTAAACTTATTTGCTTCTGGTTAATACTAAGTATAATTTTTGAATTGCCCCTTTCTACAGTTCACAAACTGCCAAAAAAAAAAGATATATCACACCATCTGTGGGTAAGTTAAACAAATTCACGCCATGACGTTTTACATGGCCACCATCTTGGTTTTCATGACCTGTGGGTCGTGGCAGACATGTTAAGAAAACACACTTCTGCTAAAATGAGGAGGGGAAAGGGAGAGAATGTGCTGGATTAGCTATTTACAGAGAGAAATGAAATTAGGATGAAACATTATAAATTCAAGAAAATGCTTTCAGCTGGTATATAATTTCGGTACATAATTTCGTGGCAAATTAAGCTACTTAATTGTATCCCTTTAGATATGCAGTCATTATGGATTTTCAAAATCTAAAAAATAGTATTTGAAATATTCACATTTTCTTATGTCTAGTAGGGAGTGGGGCACAGTGGATCAGAAATCGTCTTTTTTTTAATATTCCAAAAGTTTCCACAGATATTTGAATGTTGTATGCGCACAATGATTGTATTACATCTTGGCCTTGGATAGGAATCCTTAAAATGTGGCTAAATATGATATTCTTGCCCACAGAGCGTTTCAAAGTGTGCAGGGGTGATTCACTATGCCCTGGTACCGGGGCACAGTGAATCACTACCTGGGACACAGTGAATCAATATGGAAAATGAATCATTATCTCTGGCTTACTTAAAATTGACTTAAATTATAGTGAGGGTTGTGAATTTAATGCAATTATTGCACTGAATGTTATTTTTCATATGATAATCTTGTATAAACTCAAATATAAACAGTCATACAACCTACTTATTTTCTTTAACTATAGACTCATAGACACTGAAAAATGCAGGCAAACAATTTGTAAATGAATAATTTATTTATTTGTAACACCAAACAATTTAAATGATAAAATATAAAATGACAACAAAACAATAATTGCAAAAAATCAACATAGAAAATAGTCATATTCTGATAAATCAACATTTGAAATGGCGAGCAACTCGAGCCGTCCCTCCGTGGAGCAGAGGTCTGGGCAATTTGACAATTCTTCTTCTTCATTATCAAAAATTTGGCAGCATTTATATTTTGGTGAAAATGATGTTTGGTCTAATCCAGATTGCAGTGGCCCTGAGTTGCCTTTTCGACATATCTGCGGAGACTTGAAAATTTAATGTTGGTGTCTTTGCTAACAGTTGTAATAGATTTTCCTTCCTCCAAAGCATTGTAGTAATGGTCTGGGCAACTTAACAATGATTCTTATTCATTATAACAAATTTTGCAGCATCTATATTTTAGGTTGGCTTTTCTACATATCTGCGGAGACTTGAAAATTGAATGTTGGTGTCTTTGCCATCAATCAGTCCAAAGAGATTTTCCTTCCTCCAAAACATGTTGTACAGCCTCCTTCATGGCTTCAGCTGTTGTGTAACCAACATTTCTATTTGACTCTCTGTTTCTAACCATTTTATCTGGAAGAGGAAAAAAAAAGGAACACAACTGAATTTTTTAGAAATCGGTTTATTAAAGAATAATTATTTAATTTAAAATATCTTATCTTAATCTTCACTGGTATTAAAATCTAGGCCAAATTCATACTTTTTCTGATTTAAGTTATATTCCACAAACTTGCGTTTAACATATGTATGTCAATATTTTAAAATATTATTAAAGAGCATAAATGGGGCACATTGAATCAATAGCTTAAATGATCCACTGTGCCCCGATTCACTGTGCCCAGTGATAAAAAAAATTAAACAAATTTAATTTTCTGCTACATGGCTGGCTGCATAGGACTGGTAAATTGTTTTAATACATTCTACTAGGTCACTAATGCTAATCAATTACATCTAATTTTTAAAATCTTAATAATAAAATCTGTGAAATAAAATTAGAGAAGGTCCTAAAATTTACTTTTGATGGTAAAAAACATACCTTACCTTGTAAAATTTCAAATTGACGTTAGAACAAGCAATGCTGTATAAATAAAGTTGGCGGATGTAAATACGCAAATAATGATGACATCAGCAACAGAAATCTCCCGGTGATTTGGTAGAAAATACCACTGATTCACTGTGCCCCTTGATCCACTGTGCCCCAACTCCCCCTACTAGTGTAGACTTAATATAGAGTTGCATTTACTCACTTTATAATTACTATACTATATTATATGTATTAACTTAATTATACTCTTGGATACTACATTGCAGCTAAGTGTTTTTATTTAATTATGTTGTTACTGTTGTTTGTTCGCAGATGAAGGCTTCTTGCCTTCGTTGTTTTGTTGCGTTATTTTTAAATTTTTTTCCCAAACTTCGTTTCGCCCATTTCCAAGATTATTTAAACAATCTGCAATTGACATTTTCCTTTTCTTTTCTTAGCATGGATTTCTTTTGATGACATTATTTTTAAGATGATAATTGTGACACATATTTATGAATAAAAACTTTTTCAGCACTCTATCAATAAACTGTTATATTATTTTTTATCATTCTTTCACTTCTATTTACGCAGGTAATCAATCACTGAAGCTGGCACAAGCAACTAGAGTAAAAGACCATGCCATCCTCGCTTGTGAGTTTGTTCTCTTTTACAAGCCCTGCTGTAAAGAGACTAATGGGATGGAAACAAGGTGATGAGGAGGCCAAATGGGCAGAGAAGGCCATAGAATCTTTGGTAAAAAAATTAAAAAAGAAGAAAGGTGTCCTTGAAGACCTTGAGTATGCCATTCAAACAAAAGACCCATGTTCAAAGTGTGTAACCATTCAGCGCTCATTAGATGGTCGGCTACAGGTGTCTCATCGCAAGGGTTTGCCTCATGTCATCTATTGCAGAGTCTGGAGATGGCCTGACCTGCAGTCTCATCATGAACTCAAATCAGTTGAGTCATGTCAGTTTCCATTCAGCTCAAAACAGAAAGAAATTTGTATAAATCCTTATCACTACCGTCATGTTGAGAGCCCTGTATTGCCGCCAGTGCTTGTCCCGCGATATGATTTCTCACCTGAATTTGTGCCAACATTTCAGCCCCCTCCTGAGCCATCAATGCCGTACAATGTTACCTATCCATTCGATACACAACAGGCATTGCCCTCTGACACCCTTAGCCAGTACAGTTCTTCTTGTCTCTCCTCAGATACTCCCCCACCACCTTACCATTCCTTACCTGACCAAAATGGCCACTGTTACAACATGGATACTTGTGATCAATATAGCCTTTCACCATGCTCCTCTGTGGAATCAACGCCACCACAATCGCCACCAATGCAACCTATCAGCTATCAAGAGTTGGACCACTGGTGTAACATTGTGTATTATGAACTTAACAGCAGAGTTGGTGAGCAGTTTCGAGCAAGTTGTAACAGTGTCACAGTGGATGGGTTTACTGACCCATCTCATGTGGGCCGATTCTGCCTAGGAATTCTGTCGAACGTTAATCGTAATTCAACTGTTGAAAACACCCGTCGCCACATCGGTCGAGGTGTACACCTCTACTATGTCGGAGGTGAAGTTTTTGCAGAATGTTTAAGTAATAGCAGCATCTTTGTCCAGAGTCGTAACTGCAACTATTCATATGGATTTCATCCTACAACTGTCTGCAAAATTCCTCCAGGCTGCAGTCTTAAAATTTTTGACAACAAAGAGTTTTCATTGCTTCTCTCCCAGTCTGTCAATCATGGGTTTGAAGCTGTGTATGAGTTAAGTAAAATGTGTATTATCCGTATGAGCTTTGTCAAAGGATGGGGAGCAGAATACCATAGACAGGATGTCACAGCCTGTCCATGCTGGATAGAAATTCACATCAACAGTCCACTCCAATGGTTGGATGAAATCCTCAAACAGATGGGTTCATCTAAAAATCCAATTTCATCTGTATCATAACAAAAATTGAAAGGTTTTTTTAAAAAAATGTTTGTAATTGAAATAATATTTGAAGCTCATCCTTTTTATTAAGACTTTATACTTTGCATCAAAAATAAGTAAAGTCTGTTATTCTCTCTGTAAATAGTTTTACAAAGTGGTTCAAAATTGTATTGCCAACTTTAGTTTTACCATAATTTTTTTTTGTACACTATTTTAACAATGTCAAAGACATTAATTTTTATTTAAAAAAAACAAACATGGGGCGAAAATATTTTTCTATAAGACCATCTTATGTAATTAGAATTTCCCCTATTAGCAATGAAAAGGTGTGTCAAATCCTTAACAGTTTTTAAACTTTGAATGCATGCTTGTGTCAGTCTGTAGTTATAGCTTTAAATATATTTAAAAGACAGCCAGATGAATATGTGTTGTTATTCTTGTATTTTTCACAGTAAGTGATTTCTAACTCCCCCACTCCCCCACCTCTCACCCTTTCCCCCCCCCCCCCCCCCCCCCTTTCCTTTTCAAGGCACCCTTTTATTTTCATTGTTTAAAAAAAAATACAAGGAATTACTAAAAGTGTATTTCAATATGTATGATATCTGATATTTTATTGAAGATGGCAAATTAAACATTGTATATGAAATAGGACCAAATAAATTTTTTTGCATTTTATGATACAAGCCTTGTTCTAAAAGTTTTTGAATTTTAAGAACTTATATATCATAATTTCTTAAGAGATTTCCTGTTAAAAAATTATTAAAATTTAAATCATATATTCAAATTCATTTAATAAATCAAAATTTATTGGGTCAGAAAATATCGAAAAGAGTACCAGTAGTAGGCCTCTATTAAAATACTGTATTTGGGATCAAAATTTCCTCTTAGCTAATTATTTTACCCTGGGAACTTTTCCACATTAATAAAATTACTTTAATTTATCAAAATATATATTTTTTTTCCTGTAGTGCAACCTTATGTTTGGTTATTAAGGATTAGACTCCCTTGCTAAGTAATGCGTTTCCAATAGCTATGAAAATTTGTATTATGACTGAAAATGAAGTCTTTAAATGTTATTTACAATGATGACCAATCCGTGGCTAGAAAACTGGCTGTTTCAATACGTTCTCTAGGAATTATTAGCTTTTTTAGAGGGCAGGCCTATGGATTTATTATCAGATTTCTTCCCTCCCCCCCCCTCCCCCCACTCCTGACAATTAAAGTGACTTACCTGCACTTTTCCGTAAGCAGTGAGAACTGAATATAATTCAAAGTCAAACCCTTGGGACCAATGCAAAAGGAGTGCTATTATGCAGGTTCAGCCAGTGTTAATTATTAAATCCGGGGTGAGGTATACGCCAGGTACAATGCTATTTCAAGGTTTATTTCCAGGTTTCACTGTTGTGAAAAAGCACTCTGTCTTCGGGTGAAAAATCAAAAGTCTGCCCTGGGCGCATAATGTCTCGCCTACCATCATTTTCTGACTATGTCTAACCAAAATCTATGCAGTGGTGTAGCTGTGGCTGGGTTTGCCCCCCCCCCCCCAATAAAATCTGCATTCTGCCGAAAATGGTAGACTACCCCCCCAATATATAGGAAATGAGTGAAAAAAAATAAGGTTATACCTGAAAAAGGAGCGCAAAAAAAAACAATTTCGGGTGAAAAATCAAAAGTCTGCCCTGGGCGCATAATGTCTCGCCTACCATCATTTTCTGACTATGTCTAACCAAAATCTATGCAGTGGTGTAGCTGTGGCTGGGTTTGCCCCCCCCCCCCAATAAAATCTGCATTCTGCCGAAAATGGTAGACTACCCCTCCAATATATAGGAAATGAGTGAAAAAAAGTAAGGTTATACCTGAAAAAGGAGCGCAAAAAAAAACAACGAACTTGTCGCATGAAGCCTTCGTCAGCGGACAAATAACAGAAAAAACAGAATAAAATATAAAAAATAGCACTATTAACTGAGAAGTAGTATCCCAGAGGGCAGCAAAAGAATTGTGCTACACAATTCTTTTGCTGACGAAGGCTTCCTGCTGACACGTTCATCGTTTTGTTGCGTTCGTTTTTTCAGGTTTAACCTTACTTTGTTTTACTCATTCCCTATTTTGCTAACCTGACTGCAGTCTCTCCCCTTATCAGTGATTATTCCAGAAATTTTCCCAGGGGAGGGGGGGGGGCAGTGCCAGTTGATTTATTGTTGGACATATTTTTGCTCCGGAGATATAGCTGAAAGATACCCTGCCCCTTATTACCCCTCAATATATAGAAAGTACCACCTTATCAGTGATTATTCCAGAAATTTTCCCAGGGGAGGGGGGGGGCAGTGCCAGTTGATTTATTGTTGGACATATTTTTGCTCCGGAGATATAGCTGAAAGATACCCTGCCCCTTATTACCCCTCAATATATAGAAAGTACCACCCGGACCACCTCAATGACTCTATGCCAAGTCTTAAATCTATTTAAGTAAGTGTACATGCTTGAGGACAATCATTCTCTGATAATACTTATTGAACTGCCATTGAATAATGGTGTGGCAATAAGTGAAAGTCCCATCTATAAAAGTCAACTAACGAAAAATGCATAAAAGAATCCCATTTGTTGCTGCTCCCCCTTTTCCACCACCTCGGCATTTTACCGCACCCTTTCTTCACAATCCTGAATTATATCAATAAATATTCTAAACATTAGATGTCCCACCCCTTTTTTCACCGGAGAGATCCCCCAGATTTATTAAACCAAATTTAAAATTAAATTAAGAATATTTCCGTAAAAAACAAATTATAACCCACTTGCATTGTATCTCATTTAGCGCAGTTGGGAATTTAATTTTGAGTGCTATTGAACTTACAATTATACCGTACTTTTTAATATTTATTTTTGATGGGTTACAAAAATTAAGATCCTTAGTTTTGAATGGATTAAAAAAACTCTAGCCTAAGAAATCTGGTCACAAATAATTTTATAATGCTGCAATATAGCTTCCAGCTCTGGGGCAAATGAGACAAAATAAATATAATTTTAAATTGAAGTAAGGAGGCCTAGAGTGGCCTGGACCTGTAATTTATTATTTTTCTGTCACTCATGATCACCCTGTCTCAAAAATGTGAAATACGTGGTCGTAATAATTTTTAATCCAAATAATGTCACTAAACTAATAGCACTTGTACCGCTTTGACTATGTCTATATGTGTAATGTGGTTGTGTAGACTAGTATTAGTATAGTAGTCGTAAAACAAATGACTGACTCGACTCAAATGGATGGGATAGGGCAGGCCGCTGCAGTGTTAGTGGCTAGTGTTATTCATTAACTCAAACTAAAGTTTTGAGTTTAAGTCAAGCACTCAATTACTTAAATTTAACTACCAGTAAGGGATGTAGGTAGGTAGGCAAACGATTTCAAATTGAAAGCACAATATTACTAATAGTAATGCCATTCAATTCATAAAAATTAATATAAATCAGGAGAGTTGACGTTCTTATAAATCTCAAGGATACAGAAATAGAGGAAATTCAAAGATTAACTTTGAAGATGATGTCAGAAAGCCAAGATGCAGTTGAAATTTGTAAAGAAGATTGAGGTGGAAAAAACATAATGATGATCAATGATGTAGAATATACTAATATACTATTGAAGTATTGGCGATTAAAGAGAAAAAGAGAAACAAAATGGAATAAGAATCAACCTTCAAACAGGGTGCGTTTGAGAAGTAGCAACTGAATTCCAAAACTTTCATGAATTATAGATAGTATTTAATTTTTAGGCCCTGCAAAAATGGCATGAAAACATCTTGAATCCCGTAGTCGTAGTCATCTGTATCAGTATCGATATATTTAAAGCATCAAAACACAAAATTTCAGCAAGAAAGAGGAGAGGCTAGACCAATCATACAATTTTGGGAGAAATGTATGTCATTAGTCAATGATCAAATTTTTAAAAATGATAACCAAGAGTAGTATCAACACCCAAATTATTCAATTTTGAAATTATCAAAATATTGTTTGAAAAAAATTTTGTTTAAAGAAATTATCCAATTAATTAGTGCCACCACATCTTACTCAAAGAAATACAATGTCAATTTATAAAGTTCAAATTTTATAGTTCATCTAATGTCTTTGCTTTTATCAATGTTTTATCTTTATTTCACTTGTTTTAAAAATTATATGCCCTTTATTAAATGACAAGTAAACTGATAATTTCTTTTATACCTGTGTGTAGTATTTTTTCCAAATTTCCTCTCAATTTTATATCGTTTGTTGATAAAATTAAAATAAACCTACTAATTATTTTACAATATTCGAATAAAATAAACAATTCACTCAATAGCGATATCAATATGAGTCAACGTGCATGCTCTCATTGCTAAAAAAGCACGCTTACCAGGAGGTTAATATTATTAGCCTATATAATAATAATATACCGGTATAGGTATATCAATAAACTTTCATGCATCTTTCTATGCAGGTCGTAAAATGGCAAAAAAAATGTGTGACCTACTTTTTGAAGAAGTTTTTTTATTTTATTTTGGTAAATATCCCCATGCATCAATATTTAAAAATAATAAACAATGTTATTCATAAATCAATGCTGTATTAATCGGTTTCTGCATACGTCACTATAATTTACTTTACCAAGTGACGCAGCTATCACAGGCCATTTGACAAAAGCTATTCGTACTTAATTACTTTCTTTAAATCACTAAAAAGGCTAATATTCACCCTATAGATTATTTACATTTTTACACTGCAGTCTACACTTAACTAACATTTACTAACAAAATTATATTCTGTCTACACACTATATTACTAATTATTACACAGTCAGTGACACTATAGTACATAGCACAGTCAGTGAGTCACTCTGTAATCTGTACTCCCTTACTCTGTCTACCTGATCCACAGTTACACAGAGTAGTCTTCAGTAGTAGCAGTTTGAGTTAATCTAGTCTAAAGTCTTTAAGAGAGTGAAGGAATTCAAAAACTCATATTAGGTACTGTATTCTAAATGATAATTTCATAATGAAATTAAATAAAATTCAACTACCTCCCTAACTAAATAGAGCTTGGCTTAATAAGAAGAGAACTAAAAATGTTAATTCTCTATCCCCAATCTTATGAATTTTTTTAAACTCTGGAACAGTATCAAAATTTTCAGGACTCAAAAAGTGTAGTTTTGACACTGGCTATCTTCTAAAATAACCAAGTTGTAACTTTCAAATCTCTTGCACACACAGCCAGTCAAAATATAACAAACTCAATTTTTTTTAGGGTTGTCAAAAAGACGTAAATAAAAAATTTGTTCATACAAAAATGAGCCAAAGCACAATTTGACAATATGAAAAGGGAGCCAGTCTGTTTTAGTTCATTTTTAAAAAATCCTAAACAATTATAAAAAATTAACTCAATGAGTTAGAAATAATATTTTTAGATACAGGTAATGTGAAAGAAAGTTTGAAGTTTATTATTGTGAAATTAACCAGCAGAGGATAAATTAAATTATAACTAGAATTATCTTAACTAAGCATGTTCACACAAAAATAGAGTTTTAGAAAATTTTTTAAAAATCACAGAAATTAACCAAGTCAGATTAGCAAAATAAACTTTTCACCATATTGTAGAAACCTATTGTGTTTTAATAGAAACTGCAAGTGTTTTAAACAGGCTTCGGTTAAAAAATATGAAAAATGCGTACCGGTAAGAAATATCCCCCTAAAAGGTACTTTCAAACCCAAAAATTGAAAATTTACAATATAATAAATTTGTATAAAAAATTGTAATGGAAAGCTGGATTTCTGAACTGGCAGTGAAAATTGTCTTGAAAAAGTAGATAAGCCTGAAATAGATAAGTTATATAAAGTCTGATTCCTCTGTTTGCATGTCTGTATGGGTCTGGGAATATTTCCTTTCACTGGTTTCAGGCCAAAGTTCCGCAACCCATACACCAACAACCTGTGAAAAAGAATATTTATATCATGATTTTAATTGCAATATTTAACTTACCATTTATAATCATGGATTGCTAGCAATGTAGTAACTAACAAAATGCACAAATAACTAATCATATTACTTAGTCCGGTACCCATACTAACTTGCGCCATTGCTTAAAATCTTGTCATCATGTCCATATTTTTGCTGACAATCTGTTTTGGACTTCAAACCAGTGGTTCCCAAACTTTTCTATTCTCAGCCCTCTGGCTGAAACAAGGTTTTGTCAAAATAAACAATTATATAGGGAATATTTTTTTGTAAACTCAAGTGTTAGGTAAAAGTAAATAAGACAGATAATTAAGATCGCAAACTGTAATCAATAACCATAAGAGCCTTCTCCAAACAGTATTTACATAGTGAGTACTGGTTTTGTCCTGTTAGATGTCTCATCCCATCGCAATGAAAATAAAATTATCAGGCACTCCTGTGAGGAAGCTGGTGCTTCCCAGGGTGCAGCGTCACATAATTTGGGAACCACTGGTGTTCCCAGTAATTACTTGGTTTGAGTATGCATTATAAAGCTTAAGATAAACTTCATTTAAACATATTTCAAATACAATTTTATTGCTTATTAATGTTTTAATAACTTAACAGTCTATATTTGCTTAAAATATCATTCATTATAATTTAAAAAAAAATTAACATGTTCATTATTGCTTCCAAATATTCGTAAGACTCATAGTTGTTATTTTTGTTTATTTTTGCTATTTTTTAAATTTAACTATTAAATGTTGCTCTACTACTACTAGATGTTTTAAGCATTTGTTGTTTTCAGAATATTAATAATAATAACCCGCTGATGCCATTTTGTGTTTTCCTTTACAGAATTGAGACCAAATAATCAGCTATGAACTATGTTGTCCTACATCTCTAACAAACATTTCAACAATATTGTTTCTCATCCATCACTGACATACAATGGCATCGCCCTCCTCCTGGTTCACCACAGAGATCCAACAGATGATGTTTGGCTTTGGAGACAGCAAACACCCTTTGCAAGAGACAGCTGTTCTGGTGGAGGAAATTGTGCACCAGCAGATGATGTCCATGATCCTGCAAGCCAACGAAGTGGCCATCTCTAGGGGAGACAAGCAGATTTCTATCGAAGACATTCTATTTCTGTTAAGAAAAGACAAGGTGAAGTTGAAGAGACTCATCAAATACTGCGAAGTGAGAGATCTGAAAAATGTCATAAAGACATCCTTAGCAACAGGTGAAGAGAGCCAATTGGACTCAGCCATTTTACAATCTCCAGAAAAGGCAACATGTGACAAGAAGTTAATGGGTAAAAACAGGCTGATTTGTTATGAATTCCTATCATCTATAGACCAGACTGGTGAGCTGCTGGCCTTGTTTGGGGATACAGAGACTGACGCAGTGAAACATGAGAGAATGGTGAGAGCCGAGTTGCAGGCCCAAGGTATGGACTCGCAGCAATACTTTGAATTTTGTAAGGCAAGGCAAGCCAACTTTAGTCGCCGGTATAACAAATCACAACGTTTCAAGGACTGGCTGCAGTTGAAACTCAGCCCTGATATTATCATGAATCCCACAGTCCTTGAAATCTGCAGCTATCTGGCTTATGAAACTGTGGCGCAGATTGTAGACCTAGCTCTTCTGGTCAAGCAAGACATGAGATCAAAACCAGGTGATCTTCTAAGTAAAACACACCCACCTTTATGTGTAAATTACTCAGAGATGTATGCTAACAGTATTTACAACAAATATGATGGTACTAGTCATGAGCAGACCCCTACCAATGATATCAGCAATCAGACACAAATCAAAACTGCAGTTGGGGGAGCAATTCAAATAACTCAGGGCAAACTGAATAAAAAGAAGAGGAAAAAGACTGATCCCCCCTTGACTGTAGAGCAATCCTGGGACACAACAATCTTACCCTCAGATGTGAGAGAGGCCATGCGAAGGTACTATTCTGACATAGGTCCCTTCACATCTCAGATGAAAATGAACCAAAGGTGTTCTGTATGGTATAAAACTCTGTGCGGTTAATCAAGGCTAATTTTCTTGTATTTGTATGTTGCATTTTATAAATAGATTGTAATGTTCCTCTTCAGGTACAAGTTTTTTTTTTACCCACCTATTCTGTTACCTGCATCGCTCAATCCTCATTTCTTTTTTATTTGTTTTTAAAATAGTTGAAATATGAAAAGATCCAGGAGAATAAAATTTAAATAATTTAATTGACAATAATTAATGTTTTAAAAATATGTTCATTTATTTTTGACAGTCTAAAGAATCACATTCTTTTTAGATATATTTATAAGAGTGAGCCAATGTTGGCCTGTAGTAGCTTGCTGACTAAAGGGGGGCTGCCCCCAACCCCCCCCCCCGGGCTTTCCCCGGGGGGGGGGGGGAACAAAACCACCATTGCGTGTCCCTGCATGGGCAAAGGTCATGCATGGTACCTGCCTTAAATGGTAGCATCTACGGGGCTACCAACTTCAGTTGCAAATAAAAGGCAAAAACAGGGTAGGGATCCTGATTACATGTGCCATTAAAGGATATGAGTATGAGGCAATGGGATGGGTAGTGGCAACCTCATGCCCATGATTCTATTTTTAAGGAAGCTGCTCCTAGGTAATAGTTTTGTCCCAGCTGCTTTAAAAATTAGTTGCGAGGTAGAAACCCACCGTAGAAATCCCTATTAGAAGAGGGCGTCTGACGTGATGGGAGGGGGAAGATTTTAGGACGAAAATGTACCATCCCGACCCCTTGGGGAAAGCCGACTGCTGACGCTGTGAGAGCAGCATCACTGCATGTCCATGGGGTGGGGTGGCCTCTGCTGGTACCTGATTGAGTGGGTGCTAAAGAGTTTTGGTTCGACGGCCCGCTGAAGCCATTTCCTAATGTTATATTTCAGATTCTAAAAAACAATGATATTGATTTTGCATTCTTTTACGGAAATGGAATCAATTTAAATATGAAAAAATATATCTGCTTTTATGGAAGTATAATTAATCTTTAATATTTAAGGATTATTATTATAAATAATTTTTTTTTATAATTATTATTTTCCTCGTAGTTTCGGGGTGTGAAAAAAGGTTGGATTGGCCTAAACTATGTTACAATTATATAGAGGATAAACATTTCTTGAAAGCCAATGTTATTAGAAATGTGAACATTTACAAATAAATATTTTGTTAAAGAAAAGGGAAAGTCTGATTTGCTGTTTACTTACGATCATTTCAAGGGTGTGGGCAAACAGTTTTGAGCATACAATATCTAAAAATATAAAAGAATACAGGGTCATATCTTCTAGTAATCAAAATTGCTAAACATTTTATTCAACTAGATGTTACAAATGTATAAATTATGATTTTAAAAAAAAAAACGATGGAAGTGTTCAAAGTTCAATATTTTCTAAGTGTGATAAATGATAATGATAAAAAATCTGTTATTTCACTAATAATTGATAAAAATTTGTAAAATACAGTCTTTTCATTATATTTTATTATTATTTAAAATAGAATGGCAAACACATCAGTCTGTGTTTTGATTTATATAACAACCCCACCCCACCCCAAACCGTATGACTAGACTAGATGTTCCTTGTCTATTTGACGGACGAACAACACCACCAACTCCAAGGCTTTTAACATAGCATGAGTCAATGAGTTGTTGTTTGTTAGTTTTTCCTGACTGTGACTAAATTGCAGAATCAATTAAAATAAGTTTTTGCAGCAATTATTATGTGTTGAGAATACAGTCTAACATTTTGATTTTGATCCACTAACAGTTGAAATAATCGAAATTGGGCCCTAGCCTCATTGTTCATAAGAGACAGAGTAATATCACAGTTATGAATATGAAGTAGTTTAAAACTTTCATTCATTATAAAACTGTATTTTTCGTTACTCCGGGGACCGCCAAGTTGGTGCTGGCGGGCCGTGTGCTGTGCAGGCGGGCCGTGTGCTGTGCTGGCGGGCCGTGTGCTGTGCTGGCGGGCCGTGTGCTGTGCAGGCCTGCTGTAGAGCATACATACACAAATTAAAGGTCTTTCCAATGGTAGTGACTCTGCAAACTTGAGCTAAGTAGCATCTCACCAAATCCAGAGTAGTTTCTTCACTCTCGTCCTCTTTAAATATACCGGTTATCTTACAACCATCTCAAGCAGACATTAGCATTAAGCTGGCAAACGATAGAACCATCTCAATTATAAAAAGTGTTGGACTGCAATAAAGAGACATCATAAAGCTGGCAAATGTTACAATCATCTCAGACATCATAAAGCTGGCAAATGTTACAATCATCTCAGACATCATAAAGCTGGCAAATGTTACATCTCAGACATCATAAAGCTGGCAAATGTTACAATCATCTCAGACATCATAAAGCTGGCAAATGTTACAATCATCTCAGACATCATAAAGCTGGCAAATGTTACAATCATCTCAGACATCATAAAGCTGGCAAATGTTACAATCATCTCAGATATCATAAAGCTGGCAAATGTTACAATCATCTCAGACATCATAAAGCTGGCAAATGTTACAACCAAACAAAGTTTGAAGGCGAAATATCGTACTAGCAACCAGCAGTTCATACTCTGCCCAAGTCTGGAGCAAAGGTAGACCATTATCATTGCAATGACCCGCTCCATACCTTCCTGGAACTCCATTCCAAGCGATGTGGACAGGCCCCACTCGAGCATTGAAGTCACCAAGAATTATAAGCTTCTCCTGTCATGAAACGCCTGCTATAACAGAGGTGAAGGTCCTCGTAGAACTTGGCCTTCATATAATCCGGGTTTGTCATTGTTGAAGCATTAGCAGCTGATAATGGTGAGGTGTTTTCTTCCAGATATGAGAGGGAGTTTAATTTTCATCCTATCCATTGACTCCTTTCGGAAGATCAGCAAGCTTGTCACTCATTGTAGATTTTATAGCAATACCAACACCAGCCTCACGATACTCCTCGCCTCCCTTGCCACTTTACAAGAAGGTGTATCCACTAATATCCACAGCCCCTTTCACATAGTTCGCACTCACCCGCAAGCCGTGTCTCGCTAATTGCTTCAGTGTCCACCTTATACCTGGCCAGCTCTTTTCCTGTAAGCGTTGTTCTCCTCTGAGGTCTGTCCGTATCGTCCTTATCCCGAAGAGTGCGCACATGCCAATTGGCATATTCTGAATAACAGCATTGTATGCACTGGTGATACACATGGACGTCATTTGGGTAGGGCAGGGTGGGCCATTTGCCTCCCCACTGAATCTGCAGGTTTTATTTAGATTGCTATGTACTGGGGCGCCGGTAAGAGCTTAACAAGCTGACAAAGTTTTGGTTTTGCCCCTCCCCACTTTCCCTGCGAAAAAGCCTGAAATGACGCCTTTAGTGATACATTTTAATTTTAGTAGATTTTTTTTCTCTTCCAGGTTTATTTTTAATGGAATTGGTGCAGTGCCCTATTGTTTCGGACACTTGGTTTTTCCCTGGAATGGCGTCCGATGGGATCACGCAACCATTCTTTTTTCTTAAAATTTAAATGAGCCCTCTCAAGATCTAAATTTAATACGGGATTTAATGCAGCAGCAGCAATCGCATTTAAAATTTAAGCGGGCATTAAGGTATCATCTTCTGCAATGTTAGTACACTTAATCGTGTGGGAAAGTTTCAGCTTTAATTTTTTCGCTTTGGACTTTGTGTTAAGTCTAATACATCGAACATTTTAAGCTTAATAGTAGGCCCTATGTGTAAGCTTGTCAAGTGTCCGCTTGTTCTTTAAAAATAAAATCCTTGCTTTTCACAATGGCAACATTTTAAGTCGTCATTGACTTCATGTTTTTTCGATAAATTATCTTTTGTTGTTGAAACTTGTTATATCTTGCATAAGCTATCTGGATTTATTATTTTTTCTTTTTTTAAAAAAATAAAGTAACAATGATTCTTTTTTTTTTTTTTTTTTTTTGGTTTTTCTTTGCCCCCCCCCCCCCCCCAAAACAACAACACGAGAACAGTAATAAGGGGAGACTATTCAGAATAATTCAGATAGAAAGTCAAATAAATTTAACAAGAAAATGGCTACGCGCATGAACTAAACATGAATGAAGTATTTGTTGCAAAGTCTTTGCCGCGAATTTTATGGCGGTTGATCAAGATGCATCCCCCATTAATAATGTCACGTTCTTTTTCTACCGATGGTGACTTTTATTTCTCTTTCTTTTTAAGGAAAACTTCTATTCTTTTAATTAAGTTTAAGCCAACCAAAGGCATTCTCCATATCATATGGTAAACGATTCTACATTTTTTAGTTAAAAATATTACTTTTTTACTATATATGGCAGATTTTTACACCTATAAGTTGGTATGCTAAATGAAATTTTCAAACTGAAGGCATGTTCACAAAAAACGAAACAAGAAATTAAATTTATGTTAAATTATATATTTATGTTTAACAGAATAAAATAACTATTATTAATTATTATAAAAAAAAATATATATATCATGTCATTGGACTTGGAGAATGTAAATAAAACAACACTACCGTATCATATATTTTATTTAATTCAGAAATATGTCATGTCATTGGAGAAAAATTATATAGTATAGGAAATATGTCATAGATGATTATGAAATAATATAGGCACCTGAATTGCAGGTTTAGTTTACTGACTGATATGTGTTGTTTTATTTGACCAAGTTGGTATTCCAGCCTTCTAAATTCAGAACTTGAACTTGAATCCAAACTCAGTTTTATTATTGGCTTGATTTAAAGTGACAGACAACAACCAGATTTTTGTGATTTTTAGGTACAGGTTTTCATCCTACAGATAATATATAAATAATTTATCCACACAAAGCTGTTTGCAATGACCAATTTTAATCTGAATTTCCACACAATGCCAATATAAGTGATTATAACATAGCAACAATAAACTTCATTGGATAATCTCACTTTTGCTGCATCCACATTCTGACATGTTTCATTCCTTCCTAAGTGAATATTCTGCAGTAGCATAGTATATAGACACTTATAGTTAATACATGTTTATGAGCCAAAAATGGTAGCTCACAAATGGGGGTGTAGGAAGAATGGGGCAGAGATGGTGGTGTGCAACAATCAGAAGATGGATAGCAACATTGTGTGGGAATAAAAATTGGATGACTATGCAAAAATGGCTGTATTCTTAAATTTAAGTTATAGCATAGCTAGTGGAACTTTTTAAAAATAAAAAACCCCGAATTATTAAAGAAAGTCATTTATAGATCTTGCTTCCTCAGATCTATACGACAGACAAGAAAAGCTTTCACGTTTTTCATACTGGCAATCCAAATATCAAGGATGGCCAAAGGACCATAGCTTTGACTGGTTTCCAGACTCCGGTTTGATAGTAGATACAATTCTGGATTCTTTGAATGCATTCAATACGAGTAAGAGCATATATATTTAGTCAGAATATGTACCGTATACATAATTGGAATAGGTTGTTTTGAGTGCTACACCTGTTAGCATGAAAACTAATAATAATAATAATAGCTTAACATAACAAAATGGGTAGCTGGAACTGTGGTTCTGAAAATTAGTTTTCATGGGCTAGTGGAATAGAAATCTTTTTAATGTACAAATTATATTTTTAAAAAAAAAGATGAGGCTAGCATGACAAAATAGCACAAGTTGTTAAAGAACTTAAAATTGGGTCATAAATACTTTGGTAATTTAGAAAAATGTAATGCCAAAAAATGTATCAAAACTATTTTTCCTTTGCTAAATGAAAATTCAAAATTTGAACTCAATAATGTTTAAATTTATATCAGGAACCCCAATGGAGCAAAGAGTCTGTGACAGCAGAGAATGGTGCCTCTTCTATTTAGACATGGGCTGTGGAAATTCTGAGCTTTCATCGCAGATTTTAGCTCAAGCAAAAGTCTCTGTGGCAGTAGTATTAATGGACTTTGTATCTGAAGCTCTTCACCATCAAAGGCATAAAATGTCAAAAATAATACCCTTGAAGACAGAGTCATTTTTTTGTGCACTGTGCGCAGATGTCTTACATCTTCCAATAAGTAACAGCTTGTTTGACCTCATCAGTGATAAAGGTACCATTGGAAGAATGACTATTACTATTACAACCACTTCGCCACTTGTATTCTAAAATATATTAAAAAAATTATTTTAAAAAATCTAAAAACAGCACGAAAAAAAACAAAAAAATAGTACAAAACTCACTAATACTAGCATTCATTATTCTTTCATTTTTGGGAGTAAAACTTTTACCTTTATTATCTTGAATCTCTTATATATATTTTTCTTGTGGTGTGACTGCTTCCATTTCCAGATAGCGTACAAAATATAATTCCAGATATATATGCTAAATGATATTTTTGTTAAATAACACAACTGCATTTGGTGAGTAATATTTTCTTTTTGGAAAATAATATCATCTCAATTTAAATATGGTGTAGTAAATATTCGGTTTCAAAGTGGTTGGGACATTAGAATATTAATATAGTGAAATAAAAAGTGTGCAGTGACGTATCATGGGAAGGGCTGTAGCAAAATTTGGGATTCTTAAATGTGCATTACTTCAGTTCATATTTTATCAATTAACTTTAGTAGATTGGAAGTTCATGTATTGCTGTCGCCAATGTTTGGCAAGCTATAACGAATAACAAATATTTAAACATGGTTATAATTTTTTAATGAATTTTAAAAAAAAAATCAAGTTAGCATTTTATATATAATTTGAGTCTTATTTACTTTAATCATATAAAAAAATAATTCAACCGCCAGCATTTGAAATCTTGTTTTAGACAGATAAAAAAATTTGACATGCGCTTTTTAAGTGTCATTTAAAGTATGGATTAAATTGAAAATTGAATGTCATTAATTGAATACATTTCTATATCATTGGCTAGGTACAATGGATGCCATTTTAAAAGACAGAAATCAAGGTCATATGAAAGCCAAAGTCATGATGTCAGAAATCTTGAGGGTTCTTGCACCAGGGGGAAGATACTTTCAGGTTTCTGATGAAGATCCTGATACAAGACTTCTATTCTTGGAGGAACTGTCTCAGAAATGCTGTACTATAAGTAATTCACATGCTGTTATTGGGACACCAGTGGCATGGAATGACCAAAGTCCATCTGATACTACAATTCTAGAATCTACTAAACATCAAAGCATTTTTCAATCTGAGTTATCTGGCAAACTTTTGACTAGATTAGATATTATTAACAGTGCTGGCAATATTGTGAATTTTCAAGACATTAGTTTGCAAGGTGATAGACACTTACAAGCTAGCTCTCGCAATGATACCAAACTAGGAACAGGTATAATTGCTGAAGGTGATAAAATAAACTTACCACAAACATTTTCTGCTTGGTCCTTTAAAGTAATTCCCAACAAAACTAGTGAATACTTTCTCTACTGGCTGGATAAAGAGGCGGGTCAACATGGGTAAAATGTAAAGTCAACTATTTTTTAGTAGTTAGTACCAGTGATTTGGTCACCTGGATCGTTTGTGCAACAGGCGGTCTGTTGCATATGGGGGTCTACATGACCCAGGCTAAACCTGCTGCCCCATAATTAGTATGTGGGGAGGCTTCCAGTCCTGGGACCCGCACTAATGGTTATGAAGGTAGGGACCCAAAACTGGGAATGCCATTCTTTGTGAGTGTCAGGTTAATGGTGCCAACTTGATCCGCTTAAACTACCTTTGGCAGAATTATGTAAGTTTAAGTTACATACTTTTGATAATCCTGGTTAATGCTGGTTGATTTCTTTAAACTCACTAATTCTTTGCAAAGTAGGTAGAGAATTTATTAATATGTGTAACAATTAAAAATAAGGGATACAAACATTTTATGCGGCAATTTAAATCATTTAGGCGGTTTTACACTGAAAATATGCTTCAGTCCACTGACTTATGTGTAGTAGTCTTCTATATCTTGAGTTCTTCTATATCTTGAGGGCCAACGATCACTTTATTGATTACTCTCTCTGGCTCCTATTTATTTAGAGGAGATTCGTGATGTTTCTGTGCCTGGTATTGAAAGGATATTCCACTGGTTGTAACAGTGAAATTGATCAGAATGCATCTATGTATATATAAAAATCATACAACATGTATGCTGATCATTTGTAATAGGGATGACTTTGTGGATTGATACAACTTGTTCTCTGAGGAAATGTAATTGAACGTTCTACATATTATTTTAAACTATTGTATTCATAAATTGATGACTCCATAGCAGAATGACTATTCATTAAAAAATACCACTGAAAAAAATACATCTTTAAAAATTGTTTTATTTTTATTTCATTTCTTTTTAAAGTTTTTATCACAAATAAAGTCATGAGTAAATGCAACGCTCTAACTCTAAACAGCTTCCTTTTAAAATGTGCTACCCTAAATAATAGCTACAGTCTATAGGTTCAGTTTTTACAAACTTCTCAGCATTGTTTGGAGCATTACTGAAGGTGAAAGAAAAGTTTGAAAAACAATGTCCCATCCCAGTTAGACTTAGAAATACATCAGACAATAAAAATATTGAATCACAAAACTTTCATCCACAAAAATTACAGAATTATGAGGGTACATATCATTAATCTTAAATATCACACCACATAACTTACTTTCATTACAAAACATCTTAACAATTATCTAAGCTGGGAGCATACATCATTTAATGTGAAGGAACATCTTTCAAGATGAGATTTTTTGGAAAAAGAAAGAAAGAAACTTTTGAGGGTTAAGCATAATTTAAATATACAGTGGAACCTCTCATAACGAGTTTAATTCGTTCCAGACTCTTACTCGTTAAGCGAAACACTCGTTAAACGAAACAATTTTTCCCATATAAATCAATTTAAAATACCATAATGCGTTCCATGCTGAAAAAATACAAATTTTTCAAAAATTTTTATTAACATTTATTCAAATAAAATTACTTATGAATTGTTAAGGAGTGTAAAAACTTGGAATACAATTTAGATTTGAAACAAAAAACGTAAATAAAAATATGAATTTATGACAAATAATTAATCTAATTAACTTTTTAAAATAATTAACTTTCTAAAGACATTTGTTTTTGCCGACGCTTCAAAATTTGACGAAAATGTGTCACAGCATTATCACTGAATAACTTTGTAGCACGAATAGCCACGCTCACACCTTGTTCTCGCGTTTCAATGATTTTACGTTTCATTTCAACAGTTATTTTTTCTCTTTTATGATAGTCTTCTTGTGGGTTTTTTTCGAAGACATTTTAGCATAGGTTATTTCACTTTGCACATAAAAAAATTACAAATACTGTCTGAACACAAAATTTGTAAAAACTGGTGATCACACACGAAAACAAAACGCTAACAGACTGAGTGCTAAACACAGACTAATGCAATGGTTCTCAACCTTCCTAGTGCCGCGACCCTTTAATACAGTTTCTCATGTCTTGGCGACCCCCCAGCTACCTAATTATTTTCGTCGCTACTTCATAGCTGTAAGAATATGTGTTTTCAGATAGTCTAAGGCGACCCCTGGGAAAAGGCCGCGCTACCCCCAAAGGGGTCACGACCGACAGATTGAGAACCGCTGGACAAATGCATCGGCGCAGAAGCCCCGGCTCACAAATGAATGTCAAGAAAAAGGGACTTCCCCTTTCTGCGTAGCTCGTTATGCGAAATATCGCTCGTTAAGGGAGCAACTTCTTCACATTTTTTTGTGCTCGTTATGCGAGGTGCTCGTTATGAGAGGTTCCACTGCACTGCATAATTAGTGTATCCAATGTATGCAATACAACATCCAAATTGTAAATGGAAGTATTCTTAAATATTTACATATCACTACCATCACAAACAAATCTTCATATGTAATTCATAGTTTGGTTATTAATCAGTATTAGTTTTAAAAAAAATAATTAATCTGCAATGAGAGCTTTGTTTGAAAGATTTTCAACATAAAATTAGGCACCTGATATATTAATTTCAAAACAATTAACCAAAACTTTGCTGTTGAAAACCATTTAGCCCATGAAAGGAGAAAAGTGATGTAGTAATGAAAGGCTAATAGTAATAGTCAGCATATTTGTATCGAGACCTTAGTCATTGTTGTAATGTTTAGTAGCAAAGATAACTTGCTTTCATGTAAAGATTCAATGCTTTTAACCAATATTATGGGCATGTGATTTCTCAGTTTCTGTGATGTGTGAGACCCAAATGAAGGCATTATCTTATGTATTTGTATTATCCTTTACAACTTTAGATTTTTCTTTAAAGACCTTAAATTTTGTTAATGGATTATTGATTATTCTACTTGAGTGCTTGCAAACAATGCATATTTGATGAAATTTTAAAAATTTTAAGGCCAAGCAAATTCATTTTGTAGTAATAGTTAATAAGTGTCACCCTGAGGTTTAACATTTGAATATAGATATAAAAAAGTATATGAACACTGTTTTTAATTCACATATCAATTTATATAACACATTATCATAAGCTAAAAGCATTTTTATAGTTTATGTGAAGTACTTATCAGCACACCCTGACAAAAAAATGATGAGTACAAGTTTCTATTTCTATACAGTTAATATTATAAACTACAAATTAAAATTTTAAAGGCTAAAATCTGAAAACTTGCAAAAAAGTTTTTCATTCTCAGATACTTATAACTTATTGTTTTGCAGTTAGTAGTTATAATAAAGGTCTTAAATTTTAATACATTTCATGATGATGGGACTGCAATACATAAATCCAGATAAAAATGGAATAAACCTTGGTTCAGCAGGATAAAACAAGTTAATGCAAAACTGCTGCATTATATCAATGCCTGCAACATAAATCCTCTGTCATTATTACAACCAATGAGTAATTTTTAATGGATTTAAATTAACAAACGGTGGATAAACTTTGTTAATGGATGTTATCTCGCTCTTCTCACAAAATATAAAATGGCAAAAAGTACTGCTAGAAGTGATGCTAAATAAAGATCCCACTCTGGGCCGAAGTATGTCACTGGATCCATCATTCCAAAAATACCCGACACTCCTTCAAACTGAGGAAAACAACAAAAACCCTTTTTATTTATAGGAATTCATACTAGCACATTTTAAATTTTCCGTTGCATGTCTATATCAAACTAATTACAAATGTCTTGAGTTGACTCTACTTCTACCCTGAAAAAACTACTTTCTAGGTTGCTGTTATCATGAGGCAAATGAGAAATTTAAAAATATATGATTATAATGTACTCGTATCTGAAAAATTTCCCAACTTTACCATCTATAACAAAATTTTATAAAAAATACTTTAACTGATGAAAAAAAACCAACACCCAACAAAACCCAATTCAAAGTAAATCGGAACTTGGGCAATGCTAAAAAACGAAAGGGGGGAAAAAATCATGGTTTTAAAACTTATAACGCAATAATCAAAGAAAAGAGTTTGGACAACGTAATAAATCAAATTCTTTGCTTATTTTTGTTTTAAAAAATTCAAAACAAAAAAAATACAATTTTGGAACACAAATACTACAATAAATAATGTATAATGTAGAAATATTTTATCTAAAATTACGACACCTTGAAGTTTAATTAAATGAGCTGTCATTATGAGATCATTTGCTTAACTTGAAAGTAGCACAGCAGAAGATTTTGCTGAATTTAGAAATACCTCTTTATTGAAAACATCCATGCCATACAATAGTCCAAGTTTAAGCAGAGCTAGGGTTACAGGCACATGCGCATCAAGACTGGTTTCAGAAGCCATGTCATAAAAACGCTTTGCCAGATGGACATCCTGTTGGGGAAATAATAAATATTTTCATAAAAGTAAGATCACTTTCACATCTCTAGCTACATGTATGAATAAAATTAGTTTTCTTTATATTCTTATAGTAAAGCAAGTGATGACAAGTATCCCTTTTACTTCTGACGTGGCTGCTTCCTTTTCACAACCAGCCCTACCCCTACTCAACAGGTTTTATATTAATAGTCCTGAGTGATAAAAAAACAAACTGTCCAGCTGTGAGCATCATGCATGACCGGATGAACTCTGGTAAGCAGGCTGAATTTTTTATTAATCAATGAAGAGCCACAGGTATGATGTTGGACTGTCTGTAGGCCTACTGCTTAAAGGCCGACAGGTCAGGTGTAGGACTATTGTTTAGGGTGTAGGATTGTCTATAGGCCTATTGTTTAATGGCCGGCATATATTATAGAAAATGAGAAGTTAACTTGTTTTTGTAACACTTGGACTCATATAGCTTTCTAAAAAAAAAAACCTGACTCAGTGTAAAAAAAAACCTGCCCCCAGTTAAGCCCTGGTTTAATTTTTAATTATATTTTTATAATAAACATATAACCTGTTTTTGGTTTTATTTAAAAATAAATATTTCAAACAGCATATCACTACCAAAGTCTACAATTTAGATGTAGGAATATGCAAAGTATATTTAAAAAAAAAAATCAAGTTTCTTCAAACTATTGCTGGTGAAAAGTTTTTTTTTTTTTTTAAAAAACTAACTTTTTTAACTAACCTGTTTCAGCCCCATACATATAACCTGTTTTTGGTTTTATTTAAAAATAGATATTTCAAACAGCATATCACTACCAAAGTCTACAATTTAGATGTAGGAATATGCAAAGTATATTTAAAAAAAAAAATCAAGTTTCTTCAAACTATTGCTGGTGAAAAGTTTTTTTTTTTTTTAAAAAACTAACTTTTTCAACTAACCTGTTTCAGCCCCAATCCTTTCTCATGCATATATCCTAAATTAAACATGGCTTGAGCATTGTGCTGTTGCTCTGATGCCAATCGATAATGAGAGGCTGCTGACTCATAATCTATCTCTGTACCAAGACCATAGTAATGATAGTCTCCCATTTTCAGTCTTGCATAAGTTGAGCCTGAAAGATAGATTGACACAAATACTTTTTAAGAGTTATCTGCTGCAATTTTCCACAAACTTGTGTTTTAACTTATGTCTATGTAATATAGTTTTTGTACTTCAAAACACTATTTAAGTTATCACCCTAAAATTCAATACAATTCAACTTTATTTATTATACATTCAGCATGTAAAAAAAATGTACTGATGATTACCTCAGCATTTAATGACAGCTCAATAAAGAAATAATTCCTACATTCCTAAGGGCAGAGTGTGAAATATCTAAGCTCAAGACAAACATTTTACCTAATGCTTAATGTGAAATAATTTTTTAGAGTTGATCCAATGTTAACCAACGCCAATGGGAAAACTAGCTTTTTAATACTTTCATGCATCACAAGTGCATTTTAAAGTTAACAATACTAACATTACTAAACAATGCCAGGAAAAACAAAAATTATTTTGGAATATGAATAAGTGCAAACATTAAGAAAACAAAAGTTGGCCTATTTTTTAATAAATGAAAGTGTTATTAAAGAAAGTGTTGAGGCTGGTAAGATCAACAACCTTTTGGATGGATGTTTGAAAGTAAATAGAAATTGTGCATTCCAGAATGTCACCAAAGATTCTGGCAAGGAAAAAAAAATAATTACACAAATTTCATGAGTTTGTGAAGTTTTGTTGAATTATTGCTTGTAAACAGAAACTTCGATTTAGTGTTGCAAACATTTAGAAAAGCAATGCAGATTGACAGTCATTATCAGGGTTGGGAAAAGGGATGGGGGTAGGGGAGCAGAAAGCAAGTGAGCTAAAGGTTCCAGAGTGAAAGTAAGGGAGAGGTATCAGGTTGTGTGTGTGTGGGGGGGGGGGGGGAAGAGAATTTTNGTGTGTGGGGGGGGGGGGGGGAAGAGAATCTTCAGTGGTTCTGTGATTCAGTGGTTTTTTAACAAAATTATGGTTCAACTTCTTCCATAAAATATATTAAAACTACCTTGTGAGGCTGCTCTTGAGTATTGTAACAAAGCTCTCTGGTAAGTTTCATGCTTGCTAAACCTGCTGGTAGCTCCTGGTTTGAAAATAGTCATATCATAGAAAAAATATACACAATTCTGCCAGCACAATCATAATTTGATACCCTAGACAACAGACAATCCTTAAATAATTTATGGAGAAAATCCTTACATAAAAAAACTGAAAATATTTAGAATAATTAATGGAGAATTACACTAATTACACTAATAATAAATACTTTAAAGGCAACTCTCACTGACACTGGTACATCCATGCTTCAGGTCAGAATGTAAAGATATATGTACCTAACTTAATTTGATGACAACTAGATTATTATTAAAATATGATCGCTTTAAATCTGCTACATACACCAATAGTATCACCAGATATAAACAATTTTTGAAAAGTTTTGAAATAAAGCTTTGTAAAAGTGTGAAAATTAGAACATTTAAAAATTGTTTTTATCAACATTGTATAAATCAATTTAAGAATGTTATGAGCAATAAAAAATCCTTGTGTGGATGCTTCTTGTTCTCTTTTATGTCATGGCACTCGGTTATAATTTAACTTAACACGTGCTGTGTTTTTGGCTTCATATCTAAAATGCTAAATAATGAAATTCTCCTTAATGTTGATAATTAAAACTTGACTTATTTAACTGAAAAATATTTTATTTAAAATTGTTTGTTCGTTCAAGTTCACTTCTATCAAATAACAAAAGACCTACCATTGTCTAAAACATAAGCAACATTGGATTGGGCAACCTCATATCCCAATTCTGCCAAGAACATATATTTGATTAATGCTGTATCAACATTGCCTTCATGGTACATACGGTGGGCATCCATCATCATTTCTGACCAACGCCCCCTTTCAGCAACATTCTTGAAGAGCTGTTGACAAAGTGAAATAAAAAAGTGAATAAATCCAACACTGCTAATGTCACAGAAAGTTTTTTATTGAATATTTTCAGCACATTTCAATATCATCTTGTTGTTAAACTGAGGTGTACACTCTCTAGTGTTATAAATTTATCTAGATCATTATTTCTCACTGGAGTTGCATAAAGAGCTTGATGTTTGAAACATCCAATTTCATTTTTTAAAATAAAAGATTGAATGATAGCAAAAATATAATTTTTTTTCCTCAGATCCAAAACGAATAATTTTGAAAAATATTATTTTGACAAAATTGCTGCTCTACAAACAACTGTTTCAGGTTCAAGTGAGCTTTATTTCATTTATTACACAAATCTCCAGCAAACCACTTTCTGAGGATTCAAATTAAATATATCAATTACCTCGACAGCTGTATGACAGTTTCTGAGGACACCAGTACCAGTAGCATGCATCTGTGCCAGATTGTAAAATGCCAGGACATGACCATTTTGTGATGCCATTGTAAAATACTTTACAGCCATTTTATAATCTTTGCGAACTCCATTTCCATCTGCAACAAGATATATTTTATTTGATATGTGTTTCTACTGTACAAGACAATGAACATTGAAACTAATATAACATATTATGTATGCCTAAGGTGATATGCTACCATAAGAAAAACTTATTTAACTTACTGAAGTACATGATGCCCAGCTGCAACTGACCGTCAACAGAGCCCTGGTCAGAAGCCAAGGAGAAATAACGAAATGCCTTGTGAGCATCCTTCTCAACACCTAGTCCATTCAAATACATCATACCTAAGCCAGCTTGACCAACATGATTGTTCTAAATAAAAATAAATATTTTAGATTACATTTTTACTCAAGACTGCAGTAATGTCAGCTTACAGTACCGTCTAACAAATGTTAATGTTTATACATATTTCCAGATTTGATTTTTTTTACATGTTTAATAAACTAGGCAACCCTTGCCGGTTGTCATTGGTACATACAAAAACATAGCTATGGGAATATGAGATAATACTATACCTTGTCAGCCGATTTCTTAAAATATTCAAATGCTGTCATGTTACTTTGTTTGACAACTGGACTGCCCTCAGAGTGCATCTAGGGAATGAAATACATGGAATCTTAAAAAAGAACACAGTGAATGGTGTTATAATCATATTTATCTTGTTTGTTACTCAAGCTGAATGAATAGTTTTGAATAACGTCTTGATTTTAATTGTAAACTTATTACAAATAAATAGGGTTTTTAAGAGACTTATGTACACTAATCTAAATTTTATGAAGGTAATAGAATTAAATGTCTTTTTTTATACAATTATTCCTCACCAAATTTAAAAGCAATATGAAATATTAATTACTGGAGATAAAATAATAAAGTGGGTTCAAAATGGTTTTGGTGAGATAATTTTATTGACACTAACTTTTTAAAATGAAAGAGTCACAATATTTTGGGTACCGGTACATAGCTACGAAATTAAATTCTTGATTTAAAAAAAGGATCTTGTCATTTATTTTCAAACAAAATAATTTGACTTGTAAGTTTAATCTATGACTATGGTTAAACATTCTGCTCATGATGAAATTATGCTTAATTCCTTTCATTTACATTCTGACGTTAACTTTCTCTGTCACATATTTTAATCTAAATTTTAAAACTTTGACATTGTTCCAAAATGTAAGTTTTAAAAAATGTGACCAAGTTTTTAAACAGCCAACCCTCCCATTGTGCTTTGGAACAGCTCAAAGAAACATGAAATAGATAAAATTCTCACCTTTCCCAAATAACCTAAAGCATGTCCACTTCCTGACTCGGCTGCTGTAGAGAAATAGTGATATGCTTGCTGAGGAGGAAAAAAAAATTGTCGTTTAAAACAATAATTTTTACAACTATAATAATTTATGCCAAACCAACACTCCTGTCTAAACATATCTACATGGATGTCTCAAAGGTATAAGAGTTACATTTTTGTTCTCTAACAGTCTCTGCAGCAAGATTTGGGTTATAAAGAGGTTGAATGAATTCAAGACTGGTTCACAAAATAAAATAGAAAACATTGCTGTGGATCGCAACATATTGCTTGAGCATTGTTTAATATTAATTTTATGAAAATTTTACTTTGATAAGTTTAATTTTACTTTGAAAAGTCTAAGTAACAATATTTCATCACATGAAAAAGTTTTAACTTAAACGTTATATCTTTCTCTTTATGTCAGTGGTGCATTAGCTTACTTCATGGTTTATTTGCACACCTTTTCCACCTTGATAATACAAAGTGCCTAATACAACCTGAAAGGAACAAAGACAAGCATGAGGGTATGAGACGTGATTAAAAAAAATCTTTGTAAAATTATATTTGATCTCGAGATAAGATAAGATTTTTTTATTGATTCAAACAATTGGAAATGTTTTTTTATTGCATTGCACATTTTTAGCACATTAATAAATAAATTTGAACATGAGACATCCACAGTAAATTATTTCACTAATGAAAAAAAACCCAGCCATTCAGAGAATTCTCTTAGCCATATCAGGGACTTATTAGTTCTCATTAAGATGCATATAATTTATTAAAACGTGAACTACAATTTAACCTTTGGAATTAAAATATTGTGTTTTCTTCAACAGATCTAACTTTTAAAGCCTGTTATACTAAACCATGGTACCTCTTCTCTGCCATTTTTTGAAATTGTGAACAACTTCACTAAGATATTTATTTTTTAAAATCATCCTTCTCGTTTCCAGATGCCCATGGCTTTTGTTATGACATAAAAAGGGATATTAAATTTTTAATAATACTTGTGCTTGCTGATCTCCCTTGTCTGCCAGGAAGTGGTAATACTGCAACAGATCATCATCTAATAAAGGACTGTTATTCGTTCCCTGACTTTCTGCCTCCTCCTGTAGCCGAATTCTCTGTACAACAGGTCCACCAGCTAGGGTAACCGAGTCAGCAACTATAAGATATAATAGTAAGGTAACTTTAATAATTTTAACAAATTATAATTTATTTTTGTTATATGTAAGATCTATCAAACTTTCAGAGATAAACTTTACAGTGTGTTGAATTTCAGCTTCATAGGATTAGCAGAATCTTGAGAAATTTTGGCTCAGAGATGGGAAAAGTAATATACTATAAATCAGGCCTGCACAAATGAAAATGTAAGGCGGGCCATAATATATTATGAAGAACTTGTGCGGACAAAAAGAAAATAAGACAGGACTTGTGTGGGCCAAAAGAATATAGGTCATGGTGAAAGCTATTAAGAAAATAATAAGAATAAATAATTTTTCGTTACCTCGCGGGCCACATGCGGCGCGCGGGCCGTATATTGTGCAGGCCTGCTATAAATCATAAAACTATTCTAAACAAAGCTTATGTCAAAGTAATGAAAGATTTTAATATAACAAAGAAATACTACTGTGCAGCAAAGTCCTAGCCAAATTCATAAAAATGAAAAAAAAAAAAAGTTCCTTTCTAACCTTTAGAAGCCACTTTTCTGTAATATGTCAATGCCGTCTCACACTTTGACTCCACACCAATGCCAGCATAGTAACGGTATCCCTGAGGATTTTAGGCATTAACATAAGATTAAATGCCACAGAAGTTTCTTACTTTCCTTTTATGAAACGTATATTTGACACCTATATTTGACTGTCTGCTAAATACATAGACTATAATACACATGAAGAATTCTGCTTAGTTTAGGTCTCGTTGAATATGAAATAAAATATAAATAAAACCAAATAATTAATTTATTGAGACTTTAATTCACTGCATTAGTTAGTTGGGACAGATTTCATTTCTTAAATGGTGAGGTGTAGCAGCAAGAACATAGAGAACTGTCTCTGTCTTATGAATTCAGGATTTCATGCACCATGTTTTAACTATAAAGAGTCTAAATGCAGTCTAAAACATGTCATGATGGTCATTGTTGCACATGCAAATTAATAAAATTAAAAAAGGAAGATGAAAATGACACAATGGTGAGAAATTACTTTTATAATTTATGCAATTTATATTCTGTAATAATATAGAATGCACGGTTCATTTCCTTTGTCTAAAGATACCAAATATAAATTAAGTGATACTTCTTGATGAGTAATGTTGAAATGTCTTACCAAAGCCATTTGGGCAAGTGGGTCACCTCCCAAAGCACCAAATGTAGAAAAAATCAAGGCCTGTAAAGAAATAGTTGTTAAGTCATGTTGCCGAAGACTAAAGATAAGTAGCAGTTAATTTTTGCTCAGTTCTAAATACCAGAGAACTCTTTATTAGGGATCAACAAATGGTTAAAAAATAGTTTCAAAACAATGATTGCGCATTTACTAAACCCATTTAATTACCAGGAAAATATACACTGACTGCAACTTTTATGTTTAGTGTAAAAATATAATATTTATGTAATAATTGAGGATTACTGTATGCCTCTTTTTGTTGCAGAATAAAGCCATTATATAATATTCTTGTATTTCTACTAATAAAATTTTATTTCAAAGGTACACAAGTATTTATTTTTTTAGATATAGCACGTTAAGTAGGTTAGCAAGTCCAATTAAACAAAATAGTTTGACAGAAAGAATAAATAAATTTCATATTCTACTTATTACATATTGGCAGTGTTAAAGCATTAGAAATTGTATATTGTTCAGCTTAAGGAACTTAACTTCCTAACTTATCTAAGTTACCTTAGCTTGACTAGAATTGTAATGAAAGCCAGCACTGTACATAAATGATAGACCCTGTTTTTAAAGTGAAAATGAAGAAATTAGTTCCATAGGAGAGTAATAATTTTGTTCATACAATTGTAAAATTCTCCGCAGCAAGTTTTACATTATTACTTGTTTACAAAATTTTTATCACAAGATAGGCTACATTACACATAAAAAAACTAAGGCCTCTAAATGATACTATAAAGTTTATCAGCCTATTGAAACACCCTTCAAAGGTAAACAGATGTTGCTGGGTAAAATTTTAAAATGCAAACTGACCACTATTTCATTATCAAAGATAATGTCCTGAAATAATGAAAGCTCATGGCAAATGCTTACCATCTGCGCTTTAGGTGAACCCTTATCAGCCAGCTCCACAAACATCTCAGCTGCTTTTGTCACATTCTGAGGCAGGTAGTCACCAAACAAGTAACCAAAAGCAACATATTCTTTTGCTTTCTTATGGTTCATCTCTGCTGCTTTCAAAAAGTAGAGGTAAGCCCTGCCAGGGAAAAAAAATCAATATATTAAAATTTGTATCTATCTATTTTTTGTTAACTAGGGTTAATTGTTTAACATATCCTATAAACATAGATGAGGAACTGGTATATGAGGTAAACGAAATTAGAATGGGTACTGCCCCCAAAAAATATAATCAACTTTAACACTGATATTTAAATCTATATAGAAAATGTACAATCTAGGGCTGAGATATTTTTTAATGACTCCTAAAATGGGCTAGAGTCTGACATAAGACGTCATAGAATTGAAACATATTTATTCCATTTAACAATAGAATAAAGAATGTCCTCAACACAGATAATTTTATGACCGTTTCTTTTTTTCCATAAAAAGATTTAAAATGATGCCAGCAGGCCACACTATGTTGCAGCTGAGGAATATAAAAGTAGAAAACTAAAACAACTCAATGAATCTCACTGTCTGGAATGGTCAGAACAGCAAAGTCTGTGTGCACAATTGTTCATAGCCCCACAAAATGTATTATGACTTTTAAACAGAAGAAATAGATTGTTATCTTTTAAATACAAGCTTAAAAGCAACTTACTCTTTATACTCTTTGTAGTAGGTGGCATTGATGAGCTTCTCTCCAGCTTGAAACACTATCTCAGCTAAACAAAGAAGAAAAGAATAACCATTTTCTATGGTATTGCTGGATTGATAGACTTAGTCATAGCTAGATAAATAAATCAGTAACTTAAAATTACAGCTTTATTTGGAATTAGTTAATATCAGTAAAATTCTATAGAAGTTTCATTAAATTTTGGAAGTTGACAAGGAAAAGAATATTTAAATGGTTCAAACTGGATATAATTAGCTATAATGGCTTTGATGAACTATAACTATAATAGTAATTGTGAAATTGACCTGCATAGTGAAAAAAAATTGTCGGGGTACTGTATCAAATAGCTTTAAAAACATTGCTTGGTGCAAATGTAGGGTTGTGAAGTTTTAATTTCATTATTAAAACAATATACATTTTTTATTATAATTAGTTTAAGGTTAGATCATAACAATTCCAAATAATATAAATAGTTGTTACATACAGTTTTGAACAACTTCGACTCACTCAATATACTCTTAATTTCGATTATTTTAAGAGAACTGTGGAAAACATTATCAGATGGTAAAGGTTATATAATGCTCTTAAGGACTATGGACATAATTCATTCACGTAGAAAGGTATGGTGAGCCCCACCCTCTTGGACCCATGCAAGACTAAAGGCTGTGTTTTCAATTCAGTTGTCTTCTCTGATATTGAAATGTGCTGATAAACATTGTGAAAGTTAAATGGCTGTAGACTAGCACAAGGATCAAAAGTAAGAGAAATGTTGACTAACTGTTAAGTTATATCTGTGATCCATTGATTGAGAAAAAGGTATCTTCTAGAGTTACAAGGAATGTCATAAAGATGATTGGATTCATAAAGGATATCACCTTGCATTTTAAACAACAGGACTGTGACACAAACCTTCTATCTCCTCTTGACTAAGCTCTCCTTCGTCTTGCTCCTCTACTTTTTCATCCTCCTCTTCATCAACTTCCAGCAAGATGGGAGGCGTAACTTGAGAATCAATGGCTTTAGCAGGGGGCTGATTAGCAGAAGGTTGTTGCTCTTCATGGGCAGCTTCATTAGATGGTGCATTACCCAGTGGATTTTCTTGGGAAGGCAGCTCTTGTGGAGTGACAGAAGGCTCCACATTGGAATGCTCAAAAGGATCCCTCTGGATGACCTGTGGGTCTGTACTATCAACAATCGTTTCTAGTCTGTCAGCTTTGCTATTGATAGACTCGCTTTCAAACTTGACATTTCTTTGATTGTTTATCTGTTGTTCACCCACATTTGTAGTTCGATGGGTCTCTTGGCTGCTTTGTTGAGTTTCTGTTTTAGAATCAGAGACCCCGGCTTCTTGGCTGTTTATTTCTTTAGCATCATGGTTAGGTTTTTGAAGAACATCTTGTTTTTGAGTCAGATGTTCATCATTTATTTGAGCAGATTGGTGGGGCACTGGGGTGTCACCATGATGAGCAGAAGGTTGCTGAATGGGAGCATTGTCAGAAGTTTGTGGATGAAAGGGTGTAGGTGCATGTTCCTGCGGTTGGAATGTTTGTGATTCTTTATTTTCTACTTTTGACTGCTCATTTGAATTGCCAATTGAATCTTTAGATTCTCCAGATGACTCTGAAGGAATTAAATTGGATGACTTTAACATTAATAACGCACATTTTAACATAGTGTGAAGCAGTGTTTCCAAAACTTTTCTATACTCTATATACTATCTACAAATTTTTCTCTAGTATCACACTCCCTACCAATTTTTTTACTGTGTCTGGCACCCGCTAAAAAGAAAACAATGTATTTTAAAATTGAAAAAAAAATTTGATTTTTAAATATTTTATTAAAATACAAAGAAAATTTAGAACTTAAAAAAAAAAAGTCACTTATTACATAAAAATGTTAATGAAGAAATTTAAAAAAAAAAAAATTTCTAATGTATTTCATGACTTAAAAGTCAATTGCTCCTCTGTTCTTATAATCAAAATTCCTTCACATCTCTTAAAATAAAATAGCAACTAGCAGCCCATGATCAGGTTATGAAACACTGTTATAAATATAGTAATAATTAATATACAAAAACAAAAACCCATAAACTAATTATAGGAGGAATAATATTTGAGCATATCAGAATTTGAAACATATAAAAAATCAATGGGAATTGAGCAATATGATAGTTAAAGGAGTCTGACACATCAAGAGATGCATACTATTATGATCCTCAAATATTTCTACTCTTTTATTTACGGTATAAAATATTTTAAATAATAAGAGTGTAAATGAGGCATTCAACTCTGATTATTCTTTTTTTTTTTTTTTTACAAACAATGTTATCATCAATGGTTTCTTTTTTTCCAAATTTTTAAAAAAAATTTCTAACCTTTCTTACTTTGATTCTCATTTTTGCACTCTGTGTTTATACACATCCATCCCAGAAAGATGACATTTATTTTTTATTATTTTTTTTTTTTTTTTTTTACAAACAATGTTATCATCAATGGTTTCTTTATTTCCAAATTTTTAAAAAAAATTTCTAAACCTACTTACTTTGATTCTCAATTTTGCACTCTGTGATTATACACATCCATGCCAGAAAGATGACAGTTACTTTTGTTAAATGATTATTTCTTTCCTTACCCATTGCAACTGATTTCTGGTTTATAATTGGAGGATTTTCTACTTACTAAACTTATGGATATACCTGTTGAAATAAAAAATACAGGGTTAAAATTTGTTTTTGGCTATTACTGAATTCTTAACAAAAAACAAAGTAAGCTGAAATAAATATTTAGGAAGAAAAACTTTAATGGTATTAACAATACTAACAAATTGCAAGCTAATATATATTCACTTCAGGATGACCAAAGAAGCATTTCATGGTTGCTGCCATAAATAACATCAAACATCTAGAGGGAGTAGGGTTGTTACACATTGGTGACAACATGTGATAAAGAGATGTTAATATTTTGACTGTGGGGGAGGTGGATAAAAACTGGTCAAAACTTCATGACATTCCACTTAGCACCATTCAGATTAAATACAACCAATCAACTCAAATCATTTTCCATACAAGTTTCAAGATTTATGCCTATTTTAAAAGCTTTTAAAAAGTAAGTTTTTATTTATTTAGTAATATTTAGGCTATAATTATTGGAGAAATCTTTTTGTTCAGCTGATGAAAGTCTTCCTTAAAAAAAACAACCTGGTACTCAAGCTAAAAATATAGTCTATAGTAGACCTCTGTGTATACTATGGCCTAGCTCAGAGATTTGTACATTTTTTAAACTCACAGCACCCTTGCTGCAACCAGGTTTTTCCAAATTGCACTATGTACAAGTGCTGTGTGAAATTTAAAAAAAATTTTGTGCACATTACCAAGTAAGTACCGTATTTATTGCCTTATAACACGCACCAATAAATACAGTAAGTTTGAGAAACTAAGTAAAATCTTATTTATTGTATTCTTATGAAGACCACCATCTAGTAACCATTTATAAAAGTAAAGGCCTATGCAAACAATTATTACTAATAATAATAACTGAGTTACTGGTAATTGGAAAGCACCATTTCTGATCAGGTGGATGTGGGAAGCAGACTATACACTATTTGTTTTAGACTTTAGAACTTCCATACAAGGGGAAGAACTTATTTTGTTGCTACATTTGTTCATCAGCACTTTATAATAAATGTTGCAATGTACGTATTTGCTAAGAATAAGAAACAGAATTCAATATTAGGCATTAGGCTGATTAGACTAAATTAGTATGAGTAATTAGGTTACCACTTTTTTTCCAAGGACTTGACCACTAGTCTTAATAAACACGACTAATGTCTAAAATAATATTCAATTTAAGTAGGCATATATAAATTTTATAGTCATTTTAATTTGGTATAAAGTAAACACTGCAAATAATTTCACCCAATTTTTTCAATTTGTCATTCGACTCATTTTTTTTTAATTTTTAGGTTAAAAGGCTAAGTCTATAATGTTTTGGTCCAATGTTTTTGTAAGCCAAATGGCTTGGTTAATTTATAAAAAACTTCAGATGCATGATAATGGTAAGGCACTGATGTTTTAATTTAAAATTGGAAAGCTTAAACCTAACCAACATTGTTTTACATACTACTACCTATTACGAGACTGGAGAAAGCGACACATCAGTTTCCATTTTGGTTACCAGTCGTCTGCTCATTGGTTCTATTCTAGCTTCCGGGCTTTCCATATTACTATCTCCTCAATTGAAGACTTATTGTTATTTACGTTCGGTACTACGTTCATCGCGACGGTATACTTAAATCAAAAACTTGGTTTACGGCTGCAACAAATATAGCTACTGCGTGTTTTTATGTAGAAAAGAATAATTTATTAATGGCTAAAGCCTTCACATGGTATTTTCTCGATCATAAAAACGTTGGTTGGGATAGAGACTTGCCGAGGAAAAGCGGCACCCGGGTGAGACCTGAAAAAGGCACCCTGTTCGGACCAGTGAAAATACGATTTTGGTGCTCCTTGTGTTTGTGAATTACACGAGATTTCCTCGTAATTCACTATTAAGGCCCCGTCTAAAGATAATGTTAGCACCCATCCCCCATTTTTACAACCTAGCGTTAAATCTAGTTGAGAATATCACAATGCTTCACGTAACCTGTGTCTACAATCTCCAGTTTGCTATCCATTGATGCAGAGAAGACACAGCTACCGAAGCAGCAACAAATTGGTCTGGATCAAGTTAAAAAACCACTCAAACCCCCTCCCCTTATAAAAAATAAAATTAAATAACTTAATAACAATAAATACATTTGTAAAAAACCCATACTGTGGGTATACAGGCATGCGGGGATCACGGTATGACTACTCAACAGTGTTTTCACGAGATAAATGAGGTGTATTATGCAAAACATTTCATTCACATGGCAGGACAAAGTGTCCAAAAACTGAAGTTAAATGAAAAGTGTCAGATGGTGCAGCATGTTCATCGTCATCATCATCATGTCCCATAGTCGTTGGGGCGCCACAGATGACATGAAAACTATCCTTCTCCACTCCTCTCTGTTTTCTGCGTTTCGCACAGCATCGCCTAGTTTTAGTCCCACCCACTCTTTGATGTTATCTTCCCACCCTCTTCTCTGTTGTCCTTTACTTCTCCCTCCTCTCATTGTTGCCTGCATGATTTCTTTGGCGAGCCCTTGTTTTCTTGTCAGGTGGCCATACCTTTCCAGTTTGCGCTTTTTTAGATTTACCAGGAGGTCATCGTACTGCCCAATTGCTTGATGAATCATTTCTTTCACTTGCTCGTTGGAGATATGGTCTCTATAGCAGCATGTTACCACTCTCATAAAGAGGCGTCTTCGCTTGCTAAGTCATGTAGAGAGAATTGAAACAGGCCGCACTCAAATGACAAACTTAACCGGACATATGGTGTAATGTCCAACACGACAACCACGTCTTCACTACAAGGGCGCATTCAAGAGAGATCTGGAAAAGCCATCATCGAGAGTTAGAGAGGAGCTTTGGTCGAATCTCGCCAAAATACAATACACATGGATTTGAGAACTACAGAAGTCCAAGCTCACTTGGGAAATGTGCTGAAGAAATTGCCACCAGTTGATCGAACTCTCCAGAAGAATATGGCTATAAAATGAAATGATTCTTTTATGTACGGCTGTGGTCGTGGCTATTTGGACCCGGGATTCAAGAGTGAGAGGTTGCGTTTATTAAAAAAAATATTATTGTAGGGTTTTACTTCTTCAGTTTTACTAACATAAACTACCACAAATGGCACCCGAATAGCATTTAGTCTAAAGGGACCCGGGTCCGAATAGTTAATTTAAAAACATATAGTCCATTCAATTATCTTCCATTTGATACTAAATTTTGTCTTACAAACCCTACAATAATTCCCAACCTCTCGCTTCTGATACCCGGGTCCGAAAAGCGGTTTCGTTAATGTACACGGCAATGAGAGCTAGGTTTAGTGAAGAAAAGTTTAGGGACTTTGAGGTTAATATAGAGGCCTATAATTATACAAATCGAAGTGTGTGTTGTCAGCGCACTTTTTTTGAGTTTACAAACCTATAGTCCATTCAATTATCTTTCATTTGATACTTCATTTTGTCTTACAAACCCAACAATAATATTTTACATAGTTTTTTTATCCCAACCTCTCACTTCTGGTACCCGGGCACGAATAGTCGCAGCCATGTTGTTTCGCTTGTTTTTGTTTACTCCTCATGATTCTACAACTTGTAATGAATGGAGATGCTTGAGATGTCCGTCATTAAAAGTACATTCAAGATAAAATCAATACCCTCACCGAAAAAAAAAAATTGCTTCCCTTATCGTAGGGCACCTAAAAGACGTGGATCTCATTGGTACGTGCCTTATTTGCCTTCAGGTTAATCCGATAAAGACACGAATATTTGCTTTAAACTATTCATTGTTACTTTTTCCTGCTGTCTTTTTGAGGTCATTTAATCCCCATGTAAAAAAATAAAATAAAATAAAAAATCTACGTTTAAATTGATAGATATAAATAAATAGATGACACAGTTATCTCTCTTGGTTCTATTCTTATTCACTACGCTCCACTGCAATGGTTCCCAACATTCTCTATACTCAGCACCCCCATGCAAATGTTTGGCTATAGTCTCGAAAACCCCAATAATTTTTTACTTGTAACAAGTCTCACACCCCTTATAAAAGTAACAATATATTTTAAGATTTGAAAATAATAGGCTCATTGTTTATTTATTGAATTGTAACGAGAAGTGTAATTACCTGTAGAACTTATAAAAATAAACATGTTACTTATTACAAAACGGTAAATGAAGAAATGTTTTAAAACGTATACAGATTCAAACGTAACTTAAAAAGATAACGTATCCCCTGTTCATAAAATCCCTTTTCCTCGCACCCCCTGAAATTCCACATCACACCTCTTGAAGGGTACGAGCACCCAAGGTTGGGAAACACTGTTCTACTATGATGCAATAAAATGTTCAAAATATATGCATCACAAACTATTACAGGCTGTTAATCACTGTTATAGAAAGAGGGACCACGTCAGCATGATATATTAGGACTCGACTTTAATGATACTGCTATCTCTCTCTCTCTCTCTCGCTCTCTCTCTCTCTCTCTCTCTCACTCTTTATATATAGTTTAGCATTTCACATATCTTGGATACAATATCTCTAGTTCACTCTCTGTTGACAAAGAGGTAAACATCAGGATCGCAAAAGCAGCAGCGACTTTGGCTAAATAAGCGGGTGTGGAATAATTTTTAACTAACCGATAGTGCAAAACTAAACGTCCACCAGGCATGTGTGCTTTGTACGCTCCTATATGCCAGTGAAGTGTTGAGCACCTATGCCAGTCATGAGCGGAAACTCAACAGCTTCGATTAAAGATGTGTGCGCGTCGCATTTTACGCATTCGATGGCAGGACAAGGTGCCTAACACAGAGGTCTTGGCATGTCCAAAAATATGTAGCATATTCTCCGCTCTTAGCTAGAAGCCTCTTCTCTGGTTAGGCCATATAAGGACAATTGAGGAAGGCCATATTCTAAAGGATCAGATGTATTGAGATTTGGAGCATGAGTGAAGCCAACATAGATCATGGCTGAGCACCGTTCCAGCTGGCGAACAGCAGTGTATGAAGGAGTGAACAAGGCAGACGATGCGTGCGACGAAGCCCTTGCAACAAAAAGAGCATTTGGGAAGGCCTAAATTCACCGGGAGTCAAGGTTCTCCTGGCTGAAACTATAAACTCCATCTCATCACTTGTGACGTTATACACGGGCTACTAAGGTTGATATTCGGCTAGTGAAAACCACTGTCGTTAATATTCATTGATTTACTAAAAACAAAATAGAAACTTTACCGTAAATATTTTGGCTAAAGTGATTCGAATTCATGGGTGCCCGCAGAAAACTTTCTGGGGGGGGGGGGGGGGGAAAAAATTTTTTTATTAATGTTTTATTGTGGTTTTATTTTA